ATTTTATTTACTATCCAGAACCACCAGTGAACCTACACGAGTCTTCTGAGTTTATATGAATGTTGATGATGGAAAATAGTGGAAAATCTGAAATAATACGTTTTCTTTGGGGACTATTTTGCCTCACAGCGCCCTGCATGTATCCCTCCACCATGAATGGAGTTTAAGTTCTCTAAACTATCATAAAACAGTGTCTCAGTCATCAGGCAGTGAATTCATAACCATTTCATGTAGGAACTTTCTGTGAGGGAGCTTTTAGAGGTGGACGTCTGGTTCCTATCACCACCAGTGTGAACAGCTCTGACTCAGTAAGAACAGAGCGTTTCACACCAAACCACTCTGAACCGCTCTGATTACATCTCAATTATGCAGTTATTTTTAAAAATTGGTGGAATTCACCTTTAATATCTTGGAAAATTGTCCCGTTAACAACAATAATAATGTGTTATTGTTATACATATGACGAAACAGCTGACACGGCAGTCAGTCACGTGTCTCAGGTGCGTCACTATGCTGGTTATACAGTATGTGTGCATTTAATGATGGCTGCATCACACTATACAGCAGTACGCATATATGTTTATTATTGTTTAAGGGTCTTTCAGACACAGGACCACAACAACAACGACCTGAAATACGTTAAAAGTTCATTACAAGAGATTTAATCCAGCTGTTCTCTCTTGTTGTATCAGATGTTAAAGTATTTATACTGATACACTGATAAATATACACTGCCAAAAAATTAGATAGATAAGTGAAAACATCTTAAATCTAGTCAGTACATCTAATATTTCTCATTACAAAACTGCTGTAAGAGTTTTCAACCTAATTTATGGACATTTTTATTTGTTTTATTAAATTTTAAATTTTTAAATTAATTAAAAATTAGGGTGAGACCGATATGAAAACTGCGACCAATGACAACAGCAATTTTAAAGGGACAAAAATTCCCACAGCTGATAAGTCGGAATAATTTAATATTTATATTTTAATTCTATAATTTTAGTTATTTTTAATTTTATAATTTAATTATTTTAGTTAAACAGTGCTGTAGTGACTGATATGACTGATATGAATTTTCACACATCAGCAAAAACTTAAATAATATTGATATTGTAGGTCTGGGGGCAGGGCTACCCAGAATTCTTTGTGGATCTGTTTTCTGTTGATTATCTTTTATTTTTCTTGATTTATGATTGGTTCACATAGTTAATAATGAAAAGGTTTGTGTTATAAGCTTTTTAAAGCTAAATTTAAGGTTTGGATAACTTTTACATGCTTTTACATGTTTTTTGTTTTGTTTTTCTGTGGTCGCATGTTCAAACCTGGTGATGTGGCGACTAAAAATTTGGTGATTAATGGCAACATCGATTGCCAATATCAATACAACTGTGTTCAGTATCGGTCGATATAACTGGCCAACTAATATATCTGTCGGGCTCTAACAACAATATCAAGAAATATGTTCAATACTATATATTATATATTATATACATAATATTATATGTCAGAAAATTATATTATATGAAGTGAAACTATCTAGAAGTAGGGTAAACATAATGCTATATATTTGTAATATTACATCTTATTATAATGACATTATAGCAGTGGATATTAGATATATTTACAAGATTTAAGATGATTTCACTCACCAATATATATAATTTTTTGCAGCGCTCTGCGGTTATTGCTCAGTCCTGTGAGTCCGTGTTTGGCGTAGTTCTGTTTACAGTAACAATGAGATTAATAACAACACAGAGATGACATTAACATTAAGACGACATTAAACAGTACAGTTTATACAAACGCGTACAGTCAACACACAAAAGACGGCAGCTTACAGCAAACAGCGACTTCAACAACAGCCTTAATCTGCAGTTCATTTAGTCCCAAAACAGCTCAGTGAGATTCAGACGAGCGTCCCAAAAACCTGGAATGAAGAATGGCGTATTAAAGGGCCCAAATCAGGGAAAACGGACTTTCCCTCAGGTTTTAAATACGTGTTTGATGTATGTACACATTGTTACACAGACTCTTCACTACACAGTCCATATATGGAAACCAATCTGCATAAACAGCCCGTTTTAAAATGACTGTTTTTGTGATGTCATGAAATTCAGCTCATTTACATACAACTGCCTATTCAGCAGTTTAGCTCCACCCATTCATGTTAAAAGCAAGTTATAAAGTTATAAAGGAAGAGTGTTTCAGTCCAGAATGCTTTCTGAATGTGGCTCAATACCAGGCAGCCAATCACAACACAGCTCATTTACATATCATCAAAAAACTGCCAAAAATGCTAACTTTTTAGGATGACTTAACTTTAAATGGAATTAATGAAACCACATTTTGAAGCATTTATGTTGCTCCATTCATCACGACATTTTAACACGTCTTAAATAACAGCAGGTATTTTCAAATTCTGTAAAAAAATAAATATAAAAACAACAAAAACTGGAGCGACAAGGTTTTCAGCAGTGAAGAGTGTAAAATTGTCACGTAAAAATTTTATTAACTGTTTCCTTGTAGAAAAAAAAATGTTATTAGTGGACCTCAGGAAAGAAAAATCCAAATGCAAAGAAGTGTAAGATATGGGCCCTTTAATCAACAGTGATGTGCTACAGTGAGTGTTCAGCTTGCATAACCTGCTCTGTAAATAAAAACCCAGTTGGGAAAACTGTTTATATTAGCCAGATGTTCTAACACGACATTCAGTACATAGTTAGCGATTACGACAAACTGTGAAACTGCCCTACGGTGTGGGCAGCACTGTCGTGGACGTAAGTACCATTCTACAGCGCTTAAAGGGTCAACTTAACTGGAGGAAGTAGTTCATAGCCAGGATAACTGAGGCTCCAGCAGGGCTGGTCCTTCATGTCTCGGCTAACTGAGCGACCTGCTAATACCTAACAGTCCTGTTCTTTATTTAGAGATTAAACAAGAAAGAAACATCAAGTGGTCGATGTTATGTTAGGTAGACTGTGTTGTGTAGTTATGAATCTATAAACAATGTTCAACAAACACTAAACATTTCACTAAATACAGCTAGCTAGCATATTATTATTATTAGCATTGTTGTTTTAGAAAGTGGGGAATAAACTCAACAAAACTGGTCTTTTTCTAGAAAGTAGATCAAACTGACAAACGACCAATGTTTTTAATGTTTTTTCCCTAAATAACACTTACTGTCCCCCTTTAAACCACCCATAGCCACTGATGCTAACGTTAGCCAAAGGTCAAGCTGGGCTAATTTCAATAACTGTGTAAAATCAATGCATTTCCTGCACCTGAACAATGTCAAACAGAGTGGACGAGCTGTACGGCAGCCCTAAAGTTACTGTTGCTGATTTTTTTTGTTTATTTTCAAGACTCAATGTAGTCAGCTAAGGGAATTAGCATACAGCCAGGATAACTGAGGCTCCAGCAGGGCTGGTCCTTCATGTCTCAGCTTAGAAAGTGAGGAATAAACTCATTATAAACTGGTATTTGTCTAGAAGGTAGGGCAAACTGACAAACGACCAATGTTTTTAATGTTTTATCTCCAAAATAACACTTACTGTCCCCCGTTAAACTGGCCATAGCCACTGATGCTAATGTTACCCATGGGTCAAGCTAGGCTAATTTCAATAACTATATAAATTGAAGTATTTCCTGCACCTGGACAATGTCAAAAAGAGTGGATGAGCTGTATAGCAACATTAAAATTACTGTTAATTAACATTTTGTTTATTTTAGAGATTTAATGTACTTTAATGCATATAGCCACGATAACTGAAGCTCCAGTAGGGCTAGTCCTTCATGTTTCAGCTGTTCCTTATTCAGCGATTAGAAAAGAAAGAAACATTGAGTGGCAGGTTTATGTGATGGACTATATTATTTCATTGGGTAGAGATCTGTAAGCAATGTAAACAAATATTAAATATATCACTAGATAAGGTTAGCCTGCATCCTGTTATTAGCATAGTCAGTTTAGAAAGAGGGGAACAAGCTCAGCTAAGCTGGCCTACCTCACCCAGCCGGCCACACAGTGACAAATTACCATGTTTTTAATATTTAAAAGTGTGATTTTATTACATCTGTTCCCTTTAAAGCTGTCCGTGCTCGCTGATGCTAATGTCAGCCAAAGTTTCATGGGCTAATTTTAAAAACTGGATTTGTTTTCTGCAACTGCAAGTGACTAATGATGAAAACAGACGCGGAGAAGAGGGACTGTTAGCTATTTTTGTGGTGTTTTAAGATGATATAGCATTTTAAACAGTAGCCTTGCAGTCATCTGCAGCTTCCCTATTCCCAAAATCCAGTGGGGGTTTAGATTAGCATATCAAAATCCTAGAATGGAAAAGTGCCTTTTAAACAATAAGAAGTAAAGCACTACAGGAAGAGTTGTAGTGATCAGAAGAGCATCCCAAGCTCTGTAAATAGTAATAACAATAATAGTAAAACAAACAAACAAACAAACAAAGAAACAAACAGGAGGACACAGTTTATATTAGCAAGACGTTCTAACACTACATTCAGTACATAGTTAGCGATTACGACAAACTGTGAAACTGCCCTACGGTGTGGGCAGCACTGTCATGGACGTAAGTACCATTCTACAGCGCTTAAAGGGTCAACTTAACTGGAGGAAGTAGTTCATAGCCAGGATAACTGAGGCTCCAGCAGGGCTGGTCCTTCATGTCTCGGCTAACTGAGCGAAATGCTAATACCTAACAGTCCTGTTCTTTATTTAGTAATTAAACAAGAAAGAAACATCAAGTGGTCGATGTTATGTTAGGTAGACTGTGTTGTGTAGTTATGAATCTATAAACAATGTTCAACAAACACTAAACATTTCACTAAATACAGCTAGCTAGCATATTATTATTAGCATTGTTGGTTTAGAAAGCAGGGAATAAACTCAACATTAGCTGATCGTCTTCCAGAAAGTAGATCAAACTGACAAATTAACAATGTTTTAACGTTGTTTCCCTAAATATCACTTACTGTCCCCTTTTAAACCATCTATAGCCACTGATGCTAATGTTAGCCAAAAGTCAAGGCAGGCTAATCTTAAAAACTTAAAGTGTACTTTCATCAAAAACTCATATTCAGTGTACAGCAGTGACTGCTGCTGACCTCTTAGTGTATCTGTTAGCCTTAATGTGTTGAATGATGAAAACAGACAGTGGAGAGGAGGGACTGTTAGTGACCTTCGCTGAATTGCTCCCATGGTCTTCTAAGATGGCTTTGTTCATCACTGGCGCACACAACAAAGAGAAGACCACCACAACAGCGTTATGTTTTTTTTGTATTATCATTCACGGCTACACGACACAAGTGATGAGTGGGTATTCACAAGTGGACGTTTTGGAAAGGTGGGGGGAAAAAAAACGCAAAAGTCTTGACTTAGCAGTTTTGCGCGAGTCACGTGACGGAGGGTGGGCCGTGCGGTTTGTTGAGCTGGTCTCATGGCTTTTGTTGGGAGATTAGCAGAGCACACAGTGGTGAGATAGGGCCGGTCTGCTGCGGCAGAGACGGCCTCAGCCACCAGACCCTGAAAAACACCGCCGAACCTGACCCTAAGCCCCCTAAACCCCCCCAGCACCGCCTTTAACAACATCACCGGCCCTACCTTAGCTAAACCTGTGGATGCTCAGACCTGGAAAAACAGCGTCGGTATGCATCAGCTAGTCCAATCTTTCTGAAACACCCTGGGATTTTCTTCACTCAGTTCACCTTTTTCCCATCTCCCACTGCTGTTCCTTTGCGAGAGAAGTGGGGCACCTTCTCAAACTCCTCTTGGCCCCCTCCAATGAACCCTCACCCTGCGCCGAGGAGCATCATCTGCCAAAACGGTGAGTTCAGGCCTGCGTTTGTCACTGTGTGCTGTGCTCAGGCGCCTAGCTTAGCTGTCCCGCTAGCTCCCATGTGGAGCCCACAGCCCTGTGAATGTGATGGTGTTGGTTCACACGAAGCCACGATGGGGAACGGGTTAACTCATGGAGCTACGGTGAAGGACAAGAGGGTGAACAGTGCTCGCGGTTTGGGAGAGTTGATGCAGAAAGAGCCAATCTCGCTCCCTCTCTCTCTCTCCCTCTGTCTCATTTATTCTCTATGTCTCTCTCCCAGCGTTGGGTAACACTGCAGGTCAAAAACGGGGCTGCTTCACCTCTCGCAGTAGTGCAGGGTGAAGCTCCCTGAACTTTTCTGCTCTCCAATGCTCCACTGCTCCAGGTCCAGCTTGTCGTCCAAGTCGTCTTCGTCCTCCTCTTCCTCCTCCTCTTCCTCGTAGTGGCTGGGCTCCTCGATGGAGCTCTCCATGCGGTAGCAGTACGGCTGCCCCTCCGTGTACTCGTAGATGGTGGGCAGGCTGCTTTTCAGGCTGCACCGCCGCCTCAGGGCCACCAGGAGGGGCTGTAGACAACAGAGACAGGAGGCGTAAGTTTTAGCCACTCCAGAAATTTTCTATATTAGATGTGTAAGTAATGTAGGTGTTTTTACAATTATTGTAATCTTTTATGCAACATGTCGTGAGCTGTGAAAATCGTTATGTGTTTTTGTGGTGAGGGGTGAATATATAATCAACATAATCAATAATCACTATTTTTGTAATGATAAGAAAATGATGTCACAGTGGATATTCAACCAAAATAAGTCTGACAGCATTTATTTTACTTCTTTTTCTCATTTTTCCTGAATATCTAACTGTAGAAACATGGTACTTATTTTGTATGCAAGTCATTTTAATATTAAATATTCAAAAAATTTGACTGTAACTTGAAGAAACATTGAGAAAAAATTTCCATCACAAGAAAGGTTGTGAGATCCTGGTCGGACTAAAACTTGAAAGAAAAAGCACTTCTAACTAAATACTTCTAAGTAAATATAATAAACATATCTAATATTTCTCATTATAAGACTGTAGTAAGATTATTCAACCAGTTTGCTTGATTTAAGTCATTTCAGATAATTTCATTTGTATTTTTACAACAATTTCACAATGAGAAATATTAGACAAGCTACTTTTAAGATATTTAACTGGTAACAGTTAATTTGGATGGTCTACATGAGATGCTTTGTAGATCTTTAGTTTACTTTCAAGTTACAATCTACTAAATTGACCATAAATTTCTTTAACTCTAAACCTGCTCTAATCCAAAACTGAACCTTAACCTCAACCCAAATCCTAACCCCAACCCCTGAAGCGTTTCAGAAGATAGTTTGTTAATAGTTTGAACATCTGTAGATGATCTATAGTGGACTATCCAAATAAAGTGAGACCATTTCATTTTCCAAGGTATCATTTAGTGGTGTCATCTTTTAATATGATCACATGTATATTTGTGTGTTTGGAACACCATCATATAGCAGAGCAATTACTTTTACCATGGTTTACTCATCAAACACAAGAATGGGTCGCTGGCAAAAGCGTAATTATTTATCATAAATTATATAGACAATAAATAAAGCATGCTAGTAAAAATTAGAAATTTGGTGAGGTAATCCAAAAAATGCTATTTCTGTCTGTTTTGGCGTTTCCTCAGCTGAACTAAGCAATATTTTACTTCAGGAGTGTTGATGGAATATATTTCTATGGAAATGTGTACATGCAGAACTGGAAGTGAGCTGGATTTTGGTCTTTGTAACAGTTATCAAGCATCAAGTGTAGCTCAAGAAAAGAGCTACAGCACAAATGGGGGGGACTGTAGAACAACAGCATTAAACATGCTTCACATTTGTGCCAGAAGGTCTGAGGTTTACACAGCAATTCTAGTACGAATTAATTAATCAGCAATTTGAATCAGCAACTTGAACAGGGCTGAAGTTAATGATTATTTCTTAATATATCAGTCTACTGACTGTTACTGGATTATTTGACTAGCATTTTCACAATCTGTCAATCAGAATGACTGTGTGGATCATATGAACATTATAGAGCTTTTTAAATGAAACAGTAGAAGCCATATCGCCCCCTACACTTCCTGTAGTGTATTACAGTCTGTCAGAGTGACTGTGTGGATCATATGAACATTATAGAGCTTTTTAAACGGAACAGTAGAAGCCATATCGCCCCCTACACTTCCTGTAGTGTATTACAGTCTGTGTGTAGTGTTACCTGAGGCATGGTGAATATGTCCACATTGTTGCCCAGATCAATCCAGGCCAGACAAGAGAAGCTCTTTGGGTTCTTCAGCGCTTCAGTCAGATCTTTCATGATGGCGATGGTCAGGCGGTTACCGTTGAGAGCCAGTGTCGTGAGTTTCGGTAAGGCACTCAGGAGTGGCAGCAGCAGCCGCAGCCCTTCATCCCGGAGCTCGGTGAAACTCAGGTCCACTGAGATCACAGCGCCACCGCTGGTCTGGAGGTAATACGCCACGTGCCGTATGTCGCGCATCGACAATGGGATACCGGAGAGGTCAACAGAGTCGCTGCACAGTTTCTTCTGAAGGGTCGTTTTTAAACTGAAAGGTGGAAAGAGATCATTATCAGCTGGGATAGTCTATGAAGAAGCTAGCAGTGGAATAAGCTCGACCCTGTTTCCAAAAAAGCTGGGACTCATTGATATTCAATGATATTCAAATAATGTATATCCTCTATTTTATTGAACATGGTAAAAGACAAGAAATCCACAGTTAAAACTGAGAAATTTTATTGTTTTTTGAAAAAAATACGTCCATTTTAAATTTAATGAAATATCGAAAATGTTTCAACATTTGATATGTTTTCTTTGTACTACTTTCAATTAAATATAGGGTTTAAATGATTTGCACATCACTGCATTCTGTTTTTATTTACATTCTGCACAGCGTTCCGACTTTTTTGGAAACGGGGATGTAATTGAGGCTCACACTACACAAATCTGATTTTTTGCCTTAATGTGCACAGATCTGATGTTTTCAGAGCTGTGTGAACACACAAATCTGATTTTTTCAAATCTTAACTGAGCCACTTTCGTATATGGTTCTATATCAGATACTTATCCGATTGGTGGCCAAGCGGCCTTAATGAGAATGCTCAGATCGGAATTCAAGCCTTTTTTTCCTGAAGCAATTAAACTTGTTTTATTCAAATAAAAAAAATACACTGATTAAAAGAATCGTTCCAAGTATTGATTTATGTTCACTAAAACTAGTTAATTACTTGTTACCACATTAACTAATTTTCTTAGGTTGATCTGATGAGCCACTGTTTACAGTGGACTGTGCAAAAGTCAGAGAAAACCTTAATTTATTTACTGTCCAGTTAAAATGACCATTCACTTATTCATTTTTCACCGTCAGAAAAAGAATCGAGAACATATTTAACAGAAAATCACACAGAAGCCTCAACGACTAAATCTAATATCAGCTGTTTGAGTGTTCAGTGTGTCACTCTCTACCTTTACTACAGGCAACATGCAGTTGGTTCAATGGTTCTTTAGTAAATAAAATGGTTCTATATAGAACCATGAACACTCAAACGACTCTTTGCATGATTAAAGGGTTCTTTGCACATCTGTGTTCTTCAGATTGATGAAGAATGTTTGTAGATGGTTCTACATAGAACCTTTTTGAAAAGGGTTCTTCTATTGTTACAAGCTTGACACCATAACAATAGAAGAAACCCTTTTGGGTGCTAAAAGGTCCTATATAGACCCATATACAGCACATTCTTCATCAATCTGGAAAACCATTTCACCATGCAAAGAGCCATTTAATCACGGGAAAGGGTTCTTTGGTGTTCATGGTTCTATATAGAACCATTTTCTTTGCTGAAGAACCCTTGAAGCACAGTCTTCTTTAAATGTGTCGTGGGCAAAATACAGAAAAAGTAGAAAGAGTGGGAGAAAGAGAGCGGATTAAAAGACTCTTTTCAGGAGACTCACTTTCAGTTTCTCAAAGAAATCTGAGAAAAGTTCAGCCTTAGAAGTTGGTTTATCATTTTCTGCTTCTCACAATCCAAGAATCACAAACATCTTCCTCTTTGATTATTTTGTATCTAATCTCCTCACAGATATCTCCTTAGAAATGAACAACTTGTACTTTATGGTCATTTTGCATGGAAATTAAACACACGAATGGTGGTCTCTGACTTTTGCACAGCACTGTGTTGGAAGGGTTTATCTGCTGCAGTAGCCACGTTTACATGCAGCCTGATAATCCGTTCATAATCCGACTAATATCTCAATCGGAATAGATTACGTCCATGTAAACACTTCAATCTGAATAGTCTAGTCTGATTGAGGCCACATCAAAATACAGTTTCTATCCGACTGATCGAGGTGGGTAATCCTGTAAATAATCCGTTAAATAGAAGAATAATATCCGTGTAAACGCCTGTATCTGATTACATTCCCTATCGGAAAGTTTAAGTCCGTTCTGATCATGTTCGTCACGTCATAGTGAGAGTTTATACCGTTCAACATGGCGGAGCAGAAACTGGTCTGCAGAGGAGACGAAGTTTATGCTCTGATCTTTAAAAGACGGCGGTGGGACGGACGTCCAGCTTATGTGTCTCAGAACACGACGTCTTCCTCTCGGCCTTCTTTAATAAGGACATGTGAAGGACGTTTTCCTGAGTCTGACATCATTTTAAAGTCATTAAAAACACAAGCACTGCTCACTGCTGCTCATCTGACTCTGACTGGACTCACGTGATGCTGGTTGTCATGGTAACGTCTACACTAAGCGGTTCTCCACGCGTAATTTTGGATCTGATTACTTGTAGTGAGCATGTAGACAGAGATTTTCATCAGATTGTTGAGTAGAGTGAGAATAAACACCTCAGTCTGAATCTAGAATCAGAATGTGTCCAATCAGATTGGAGAAAATCTCTGCATGTTAACACAGACAGTGCTGTGCTCAATATTTCTGTTTCTGTGGTTATTTTAGATCCAAATGTCAGGCATCTGTTATTTGATGTTTAAAATTTAACAAAGTTTTAATAGGAAATTGAATGTCGGACATGCTGAACTTTCACAGGATCCCTCTGAGCAGGTGTTAGCGGCGTGTTAGCAGTTATTGCTAACACAGATGAGGGTTATTTATGGCTCTATTGTAAAGTCTCCTTGCGGGCAGGGAATTGGGTGCCATTGTCACTTTCGCTGTGTGTGTTTCCAATTTTGGGGGTGTTGGGGGTGGGTGTCCATAATGAGAGCAGGAGATCCACCAAAACATCCCACACACACCAACCAATTATCTCCCCAAACTACTCACAAAAACATCATCACTGCTGAGCACAAAGGAGAAAAGGCTGTGAAAGAGGGACAGAAGAAAAAGCCACTACGTCACATATACGCCCCAAAAAGAATCATCTGATTCCAGTCCAGCTGAAAATCGGCCCTTGGTTATGTGCTTGAAGTCATGACTACTTGAAAAGTGCAGGAGTACTTGACCCTCTGGGTTCCGAGTGTTCTTGCCCTCATTTTTTTCAGAGTAGCTAAAGAGCAGCGACTAAGAATAACTACCATCTACAATCTCTAACGCTGGTTTCTCCACGTCTTCTGCTAAGAAGTAGCTAAAGAAAGAGAGGAAGGGTTTCATTTTAAGTATGAAAAATGCAAAAACAGAAAGGAATATCTTGAACTAAATTTACTTAAAACAGTACAAAGACAAGATACTTAAACTTTTTACTTTTCAACATCAGTGCTTTTTGTAAATATTCGCTCATTCTGAAATAGATGCCTGCAACACATTCCAAAAAAGTGAAGATCAGGGAAATTTAAGACTAGGAACATTGTTAAATTGTTGAAAACTCTAGAATGAGTGATAGAATCATGCTTGGGTATAAAAGGAGCATCCAGGAAACTTCATGAGCGAGGACGAGTCACAGCTCACCACTTTATCACTTTAATATCATCAAAAGTTTCAGGAAATCTAGAGAAACTTCTGCATTAAGGACAAGACGGAAAATTACAACTGAATAACCTTTGCACTATGGAGTCACATATTAACAACATCTAAAACACCGCCGACTTCTCTGGGCTTGAGCTCGTCTAAAATGGACTGATACTCAGTAGAAACGTGTATTGTTGTCTGATGAGTCAACCTTTCAGATTGTTTATGGAAATAATGGACGTTGTGTTCTCCGGGCCAAAGAAAAAAAAGACCATTCAGATTTTTACCAGTGTAAAGTTCTAAATCTGTCATGGTGGTATTAGTAGGTAATCTGTGAAAGCCCCATTAACAAAGATATCTACACGTTTGCTGCCTTCAAGACTCCTTTTTCTGACAACACCGACAACCATTCTGCACGTTTTACAACCACAGTTGCCAAGTCCACTAATTATCAGCAACTTTGGGCTTATTTTTCTGTAAATTCGCAACTGACAAATATTAGTAGTTGCACGTTGCATGTTTTTGCACTTGTTTCTAAAGTGTAGTTGCTTATTTGAGCTTATTTCTATATAGAACCATGAACACTCACAGGACCCTTTGCATGATTAAAGGGTTCTTTGCATCATTACAGGGCTCTTTAGATTGATAAAGAATGGTTGCAGAATTTTTGAAAAAAGGTTCTTCTGATGTTACAAGCTTAACATTGTAACTACAGCAGAACCCTTTTTGGTGCTATATAGAACCCCATACAGAACCATATACAACACATTTTCCATTCATCTGAAGAACGTTTTCACACAAAGAACGCTTTAACTAAGCAAAGGGTTCCTAGATGGTTCATGGATTTATATAGAACCATTTTCTTTAGTAAAGAACCCTTGAAGGACCATCTTTTTTAGAAGTGTAAGTGAAACACGTGAAATAAAACAACTATATATATGTAAACTGATCCAAGTGGCCTTTCTTTTCACACATTGTGGTAGGTAAGTTTGCCTTTTTTGGGCTTTTTTTTATTTACTTTAGAGCCAAGTTGTTTCTTTTGGGCTTGTTTCCATAAACCTGTTTTTTTGAGATCTGGCAACAGTTTATAACAGCATGGCTGTGTAATTAAAGCATGCAGGTGCCACACCGAGCTGCCTGTCTCCCAGTGAAAACCACAATATGAACTTCAGCATGAATGTGCTAAAATGCTGCAGGTTGAATATGTGAATACGTGCAAATATGTTTGTAACTTTGAAACTGGTTGTTTTTACAGATTAGTTTCCATTTATGGACTAATTTTTGAATATTTACATCCTACATCACTCTTATTTCAAAACAGGGAGGAAAGTCTGGTTTTCCATCAAATGGGCTTCTGCACCTGTGAATCTGTGAACACAGACGTTTGCACAGGTGTCTCCTAACATACTCACACGTAATGTAGATGTGAGCACTAGGGGGCAGTGTTCACACCAAAATGCACAGAAAACAGACATTTTGCAATATTTTGAAGAACAGTCATTTGTAACGTCGCTCCTCTTCTGCCAGCTGATCTTTGACCTACTCTGTTTTGATTTTGTGAGTTCTGCCTCGCCTCGAGTCTCGTCCCAAAACTACCAGACAGCCATACAGCATCTGCTTGACATGCAGCTCCTCAGATTTGCAGA